AAGGTCGTATAATTACGAAAGTACATATTTAATTATAAAATATTAATAAAAATTATACACTTTTTGAAAATTTTTGACATTATTATTATTATTATACAAAAATAAAAAAACAACTGTATTAATCGTTCGAATATTCGTTTTTATTGATAACTTTTACATCATTCTAACGTGCAACAGTAACACATTTCTTTGATTGACATTCTCAGGTCTCGTAGCAAGAAAGATTTTATTTACGTTTTTTATTATTTACTTTAAAGAGATGCCGACTAGATGTAAATTTATTTTTTCAAACTTATTTTTCATTCATTTTTTCTGGTGTTTGTGCAACACATCCGTTGCTATGCCAAGCAGATGTCTAATTGGTGAAACCGCGTGTGACTAATAATTTTTTTTTAGAAAATTTTGAATTTTTTATTTTTGTAATTATCTACCAAAATAAAGTGAAAAAGATCGAATATTATCGAAATTGGACGTCGGATCTCGTTGAGTTTTCTTTATTTACCTGATTTTCAGAGATTTTATATAATGAAATCACTTCAACGAAATTGTATCTAACTTGTTTTTGATTAAAATTAAATATTTTTTTGTAAAAATTTTAAAAAAAACTAAATTAAATTAAATTCCCGTTGAGTTAATACATTTTTTAAAAAGTATAAAGTGTTTGATTGTTTATGGTATCACTATTATTCAAATAAAATTTGCTATTGATTTTTTATATATATGTATATATATATATATAAGCTTGGTTTTTTTTTATATAAAGCTTTATCTGTATTGTAAACATCTATAAAGATTTTTCTTTGATCCAGAAATTTGTTACATTCACAATTATAATGATTTCGATGTCAATTAATGGAAAAATTTTAAAGTAGTCATCGCGAATTATTTTTTTTTTATTAATATGAATACCAAAATTTCAATAAGATATGTCATATTTTTTTCTTCTTATTTTTTTAGAATAGCAAATTATTTTTAGATAAAAGCAAAAGATATGTTCGTACAGATATGTTTGCTCTTCACATAAATCTCTTATAGATTAATGCTGTACAATAACCATAACAATAAATATAAGAAATCATAACAAACATAAACAATATTTCCTAGTAAATAACAAATATATATAGTAATATTTTTACTCGGGTTTTTGTTTCAATAAATATTATTGAATGTTCAATTTTTGAATTTCTTTTCTTTTATATAATAGTAGTATCAGTAGTGGTAGTAGTAGTTTCATTTAAAATTAAATTAAATTTAAAAGAAAAGAACTGATCTCTTGTTCTCTAATCAGTGATTCTTCATGTAAAATAAACGAACTTTCCTATCCATCTTTATAATCATGATATATAATAGATATGTTTCTTCCAACTATGAATATCATACGTATTGATTGTCCCGTTCAACAGGAACAAGGACATTTTTGGACGCAGAATTAGAGGATAGGCAATTGTTTTCTTTAAACTTTTTTGACGTTGCATTCACGCCACGTAGGATTCACGATGCCACTACAATCTCAATGATTGAAGCGCTTCTTGTCGTAGTTCATTGTGCTCAACAGAATTAGTGCATCACATTACAGATTTTTTCAATGAGGTTTCTTGAAATTATCAAGTTTTAAGTCAAGTTCGTGAGCTTCGTGTCTACTTATAACAGAATAGTTTGGCCTAATGCCATTTATTAACACAGAAACTGATGGTCTTATGATTGGGCTCGGAATGAGTAAGCCAGATGAGGCACAGTCAGAACGTTCTAGGGAACTAAGGAGATTATTTTTTTTTTAGTATTCATTTGTAGCAATAGTTCTTCCCTCGTTATGATGTTTCTTATCACAGCTCATGGCACATTCTGGGTGCTGCCCAGTTTACGGCAGGACTTTCAAACACGGACATATAATGTGTCATAACCAAAAGTGAGCAGTGGAAATACCACTATCCACCGAACAGGTGTGGCTACTATGGTCGCAGTGTTTCTAACTGCAAGAAAATATATTAATAAAACGTGAGATTACTTAAAATAAATGATAGCTTCTAATTACAATAATTAAATCATTCATTTACAAATTTTATATTAAGTAAATGAAGGTAAAATTAGATTATTCAATTCATTAGTGAAGAGATTTTTAATTAATTTAATTGATCAATATACAAATTAGGATTTGTCATAAGACTTAATTATTTTCTACTATATTCGTTTAATTGAGTTATTTATGACATATATGATAAATATTTATTATAATATATTAAAAAATAAATTATTTTGATCGATGACAATATAAATTTTGTTTAAAAAAACAAAAAGTTTAATTTAATTTAGAAAAATTCATTAAAATTTTTAATTATTAAATATATACTTTCCAAAATTTAGTAAATTTAAATGAATAATTTTAGGTTTTTGCATTTATTGGGTACAATATAAAAAATCTGATATTTCTCTTCCTTTAATGAATCGATTGAGTGAAAAATTGAAAAAATGTCCTTTTTTCATTAAAAATATTTGATTGATAGACCGCGATTTTTTTCTTAATTTTTAAAAAATTATACATTTATGAAAAATTATCTTAATTTTATTGCATTCTTAATCATTTTTTCTATAATTTTCATTAATGAGTTTTAAAAATATTAAATATTTCTATACAGTCAATTTATAAATCGTTTATTTATTAAATCAAAAAAGCAAAAATGACGATTTTTAGTCCCGAAATCTGTCAAATTATCAATTTATGAGGATATTTTTCCAATAAAATTATTGAATTTAAAGTTTAAAAAATATAAAAATAATAAATAGATATTATTTAAATATTGTAAATAGAAAAGAATAATTTTTCAAAAATATAAAAATTTTTAAGAATTTATAACTACAAAAAATTGATCTTGCTACTTTTTAATTTTGTATTTTCTTAAAGTGTAGAAACTTTTAATAAACAGCTTTGAATTTCAAACTACAAATTAATTTTAAATTTTAAAATATAAAGAATTTTAACAAGCTATTTAAAACTTTTAAATTATTTTTTGAAAGAATTTTTATTCTTTTTACTTTACTTTTGAATATTTTTAATATATTATTCTAATTCTAGATCTTTTTTTATATATAAAATAAAATATGAATTAGAAATAGTTTCTTTCTGCTTAAAATAAATTTTTGTAACATTTTACAGTTTTATAAAAGCTTCTTCAATTCAAAAAAAGGAAAGGAGGTTCAAGAAGGTTTTTCTTTTAAGAAAAACCTTCACTTTAAAAAATGAGGTTCAAGGAGAACTTTAAAAGGAAAATTGCTATTTTCTAAAAGAAAATGATGTTTAAGGAGGTGTTTCTTACAAGGAGAACTTCCATTTAAAAAAAAAGGAGGGGTTCAATTATGAAATTTTCTTCCATTTTCCTGAATTTAATGTAATTATTGACATTATAATTAGTGCATTGAAATGATCATGAAAATTATTGATCATTGATATGAGTACAATTAATTGAATGTAAATGTATTCTGTGTAATGTAAATATTACATTAACACTAATAATATAACCTGAAATATTTTTCTTTTCATCTTTGCTGAATATAATTTTATAAATTAGCTAAACTAGATGCAACTACTGACTTTGTTTATGTCTTATTCTAAAATAAATTCAAATTGATTGATGAATTAATTGGCAGAATGAATATGATCTTCCAAATTATCTTTTGCTTAATCATTTTCTTAAATTTTTCAAATTATATTTTTTTTAAATTGAATTTTCTTATTAGTAAATTTTAAAAAATAAAACAAATTTATGTTAAAAATTGAATTTGTATAATCACTAATATAATAACAATGTTGAAAGAAGAGCCTTCATTTGTGATACTAAATCTAGGATTTTTATTTTAGCAGCAGGTGCTTGTGTAAATTATAAATTAATACTTTAATACAAAATTACAAGGTAAGATTTTATTAATTTATCTTTTTTCATAAAAATAATGAATGTACTGTTTTAATTTTCAGGACTTATTAAACTTAGAGAAGAAAATACAAAATATCTGCTTTGCTATTAAAAAAAAAAGACACTACAAATGGTGAAGTGGATTCTGAAAAACCTTTTTTTTTTGAAATTTTTCTTTATCAGAAAATAATAATAATATTCTTGCTTTGCTATCAACTATAAAAGTTGGTTTCATAATAAAACCTTTAATCCTCAAGAAATTGCACTTTAAAAATATGTAAAACTTTATAATTACAATTTTTTAAAATAATTTTCCTCAGAAAAATATTAGCAAAAGGAATACAAATAATAAACAGGAAACTCTTAAAGATCTATATCAGTGGTTCTTAATTAGAGGTTGATATAAACAACCCTCGAAAAGTTTTCAGTGATCCGTGGGCTTGGGAGGGAAAAAATCAACTTCTTATCTTAATTTTGTGTTATTGTATGAAGTTGTTAATTGTTGTGTTAAGAAAAATGCACCTATAACTTATTATCATATTAAATGTATTTCTATATAACTGGCTTCTTTTGTAATTTTATTTTATGCATTTAAAAACATTATTTTGAAAAGGGGTCCATGACCTTTGCCTGACTGGAAAAGGTATCTAGGAAACAAAAAAAATTAAGAACTCCTTGTCTATACTTTTCATTGTAGAAGACAAATACTTCTTAAGAGCTAAATCATCTGTTATATTTTGTCTTAAGGTAATTGGACCTTTAAACTGTCCTTGTTTATAATTTACACCTTTATTTTCATATAAAATGAAAGGTCTACACTTGTCTCAACCTTCTCTTAACACTTACATGAACTTTCGTTTAAGTTTCATCCCTTATCTCAATCTTTACTTGAGGATCATCCCTTATCTCATTAACCTTTACTATTCTTAAGCAAAAGTTATAAGTGTGACCTAAGAATGACTCTCATTGTGACCCACTTAACTGTAAGCCTTAAGTGAAATTTACAAGATAAGGGCTAAATTCACTTCCGAAATTATTCAATAGATTGTAATTGGAATGCATATTCATAAATGGAATTTCCGATTTTACGTAAATGACAGTTCCATAATCATTTTCGAGTTAACTAATTGCACTTTCTGGAGTGAAGATGTTTGCATATCTAGAATGCTTCGAATCTATTCAAAATTAACTCAAAACTCTTTAGATGCTCATTTAACATTTCTGGTAATATAGCTATAGGTCTTAATTTTAAATCGAATAAATTAATATAAAAATGTAATTCCAAGAACGCACTCTTAGTTTTTAATTACTATTGACTTCTATTTTTTATAACTATAATTAAATTAAAAATATATCAAGTTTACTTTCTATATTGTAGAATAATTATATATAGCTAGAAAACTAATATTTTTGAATATTTATAATGCGAAAATATTGAACGTAAATATCACGCAACTCAATTTTAAATGCATAGAAAGATCTTTATCTACGCATTTTAACTTATAATTAGAAAGTGAACCTCATGATAAAAATTATAATAAATAATATACTATTAATAATATTATTGTTATTGTATATCTTTAAAAATTAATATTTTTTCCAAATTAAAATTCATTATATACGATTAAAAATTTATTTTCATAGTAGGAAGCATAATTATTATGAATAATAGCGTGTAAATTGAGTTAAGAGAAACTCCAAAGCATCTAAGAATTCAAAATTAATAAATAAATATGCAAATTATATATTTTAAATGAAAAAATTATAAGAATAATGTCAAATACTATTAGAAAGGTTAATTTTATCGTTTATTTTTTAAAAAAATTATATATTCAAGCGTATTAGAATGGGTTAATGTTAAAATACTTTTTATCTTCTCGAAAGCTATTAATGGCCCAGAAACAATTTGGTAATCAGTAACTAGAAATTTGAGCAGTTTCACGCACCATTTCGTACCGTTTTAGTCACAGAATTTTTTTTTTTTTTTACTAAACACTAAAATTTATTCATTGTAGACCTACATGGTAACCATTTATAAAATGGTTACAATGTGCATTATAATTATCTAATTTAACTAAAAATATTAATTTTATAAACTGTATGTACAGGATAAATAAAATAATAGAGCATTTTTATTTAAAATATTGTTTTATACTTTTTTAGACTGTATGTTGTCAGTTCTGATATTGTACGACAAATTTTTCGAAAACTAAATAAGCTAGGAAGTTGAAATTTTTAAGTTATTATATACAAAATTTTATATTGCTTCTCACATAATTTATATTATTTCCAGCGTTTCTAAACATAAAATTTGGAAACTAAATATATATATATATATATTTCATTGAAAGCATGACCAATTTAATCCGTCTGTTTATTGTCTATCTGCAATATTTTCCAGAAACTATAAGAGCTACAGAATTGAAAAGTGATGACGTAGATGCAATCACTTCTATACTACAAAATTTCATTTTTTTAAAATTATAAAAGCACTCCAATTGATTATCGCGCAGCACAATTCATTTTTCTTTATATATATTTATATATTTTACACTTATAAAATAAAATTCTGAAATAAATAATTATATTCAGGAATTAACTAATAAAATTACTTAAATGTATGACTTTATTATAATAAATAGATATAAGATTTTTGAATAAATGATACTGTAAGGAAAGCAACATTTATATCAGGAACATATGGAATATTTTATATTTATTTATAAAGAAATCCTAAAAAAGAAAACAAAAAAACCATCTAACAGATATACAATAATAAAGAAAAATGGACGATTAAAGTAATCAATTCAATATTTTATAATCCAATATATATTCTTTATATTTGATATTAAAAAAAATCTTATATAAAGAGCGAAATAATCGATTGAAACATTGCATTTATGAATAAGAAAAAAAAATAAATTTGTTTTTGATATTATAAATTTAATATAATATATATTATCTAAAGTATATTTGGGGTATCTTTAATATATATAAACATCTTTAGATTAAAATATATCAATAATTAAATTTAAAAAAATTATAATGATGTAATAAATCAAAACATTATCATGACCTAGATAAACCTTTTATTATTATTATTATTAAATTTTCAGCATATATCAATATTAATTTGATTATATTAGATTATATTTCGAAGATTTAGATGATTATTTTAAATTTTGAGAATAAAATTACTTAACAGAAAAAAATTATCAAGAATTAATTAAATTAAATATAAAATATATTTAATGATTAATAAAGATGTAATATAATTTTAAAACTTTACTCGAAAATCATTTTGACAATTAAAAATGATTTTTTAGTAAAATAATAAAAAATTTGCACACAAATTCACTTAAAATCTTATTTGCAAAAGAAAATAGCGTAAAAAAATTTAAGAAATTTAATTTTAAAATGTATATAATTTTATTATATTAAAATTAATAAGTATAAAAATAGTTTTAAAAAATTAGATTAAAAATAAACTATATATATATATATTTTTTTTTACCTTGACTCATGTTTTCACTGATATGGAGTCCAGAGGTCTGTTGTCTTCCTCCAGATACCAACTCTTCGTTACTCATTGTATATACCCGAGAGATTGTTGCCGTACATTTTAGTTTCATGTTGCCATGACGAAAATGTTTTTCGGTGACAACAAATCTTAAACCTAGACTAGACGTTTCTAAACCATCGGCGTGTAAAGTTGTGGAATATTCTGTTTCGTATTCTGGTCCAGCCTGATAAAAGAAATAATAATAAAAATTCATAAATAAAATATTTCGAATTTAATTGAATATATAAAAGTAATAAATATTTAAAATAATTTTGATTTATTAACATAAATTGTACTGCCATCAATGTTAGATGTTATTATTGAAGGAAAGGTTCTATTAATAACAGGAAATTAGTCGAAAAGAAATCGTAATAAAATATTTTTTTACAACTTCTTTTCGACTAATTTCCTGAAAAGTAAAATGGTCGATTGGAAATTTCGATTTTCTTCACAATAAAAGCTTTTACGTACAACGTTTACTTATATCATAATTATATATTCTAACACATAAAAAATGTACCACATAGCAGAGTACAAATTGTTTCTTATCCCCAATTTTAAGCACTATTAAAACATAAAGTATGCAATTAAATACCTAATATTTAGGTGTTTTATTTGAAAGTATTGATTTATTATATTCTTCGAAAACGTTAAAAGTAATAAATTTAAAAACAGAAGAAAAACAATCGATGACAGATTTGATATTTCAAAGGAGTGCAGAAAAAGACAAATGGAAAAGATAAAATGAATAATTTTTTTTCTTCTGACTTTTTTGTTTCTTATCTACTAAGGTCTTATATTTTCGTTTAGTCACGCTTAGAGTCTTGTACGATGATCTAATTGAGTTGGGAGCAAAAGACACACCTTAGGGAGATGAGGGACAATAAACAGAATACGAAGTGGTTCTCCTGAAATTACATTCTTTCTAATCGCTCCTTCAAACATATTTCCGGAGTTATCTCACAAGCAAACCGAATTGTTTTCTCCCTCAGGGTTATACTTTCGAGAAGATAATTGGCAGGACAAGACAGAAATAATTTTATGTTATAAAATGAAAAGAGTACAAAGAAGAGAAGAAGAGAAAATTCAAAAATAACTGAAAGTAAAGTTCTTCAAATTTATATCTAATTTTATATATAAACATATGTAAAAATTAAATATTGTATTAAAAATTATATAAAGTTTATTTTTATGTTTTAAAAATATTTTTCTATTAAATTATATAATAAATTATTCTTTTAAATATTAGTTTAAATAATTTATAATACAAATTATATGTAAATTTATATATATCGTTTTGACATTATTATTTTTTTAGAAGATTTTTATTAAAAACTAACATTTAGTTTGATAATCAACTGAAAATAAATTGTTAAAAATTGAAATAAAATTGTTTTCATTTATAAATCGTGAAAAAAAATATGTATTTATCACAAATTAAGCAAATTAAGTTATTTAAATATAAAAAAGCAAAATAAAAAAAGTTAATAATAAAAATTTTCAACAAAACTTCAATTTTAAAATATAATAATATGCTTTTCAGTGTATAAAATTTGTGTTTAATTTGATTAAAAAATATATAAGTAGTTATATTTAAAAAAATCGATTAATTTTAATAATTTTGAATAAATTTATATGATTGAATATTTATAAATTTATTTAAGATTAGTGAATAAAATTGAAATGATTTTGTTGACATTCTTAATGCTTTATAAACTTCAAACAAGAAAATAAATATGAAAATGATAATTTTGTAAATCCTTTTATCCTTACCAGTTCATCATTAATAAACCACCTGAGGGTTGCTGGTGGTTTAGATTTAGCGGACGTACAATTCACAGAAACAGTATCACCAATATGATATTCGGCTAAACCACCTGTGATTTTTGGACCTTCTGATGGTAAAACTATAAAATAATAATAAATTAAAATGTTAAAAATACGTTGATAAAATAATAATAATAAATAAATAATATTTTAAAATTTCTCATTTTTTCTAGTTTAAATTACATCAAGTATGCAATATTTTATTATTAATATAAGAAAATATCTTCGGACTGTTATGACTATTTTCAGTTCATTAATAAAACAAACTTTTGTAATTATTAAACATAAAGTAATGTTCAAATGTTTTTAATTTTTAATTATATTTAGACGGAAATTTATACAATTTCGGAAATTAAAAAGTAATTTCTAATAGTAATGTATTGGATTTATATATTACTTTTATGTAAAAGACAGTATAGTAGGTCTACAAAGTTTAACAGAGCATTATTTTAATGTAATATTGTATATAAAAGTATATATCTTCTGTTTTCTACTATATATTCTATCTTATTTTCTTCCCTAAGATGAGGAAGTTTGCTTAATGGGAAAGTCAAATCCCATTTAAAAAGACTCATAAGATGCGTACTATACTCATTTAGTTACCTTATAATTAAATAACAAAAAAACAAACCAAAATCATTATGAAAATAACATAATATTTGTTTTTAAATTACATTTTAGTTCATTTATTTGAAATATGAAGGAGAAAAGTTGCCAAAAATTTATTTCTAAACTATATTATTTTACTTTTTACCAGGACATACTAGAAGCCAAATAAAATCGCACTTTTCCCATCTGTACTCAATTCAGTAGCAAATAAAGCACATATAATTTTATACAGTACAGTATAAAAGGATATGTATATATATATTTTTTCCTCCGAAAAAATTCTAAAAAATTCAGTATATTTTTTTCATCATTTAATAAATTAAAATAAACTTTTTTATTAAAATTTATTATATATATTTAGACATTTATAAACATTAAAATTTTATTAAATTATCTCTCTTACTAAAAATTATTTAATTTATGTAAAATATCTGTTGATAGAATCACAGAAAATCAAAATCCATTAATTAGCATACAGTAATAAGGTTATACTCCTTAATAAGCACGAATTCAGGCGTAAATTTAAATATTTATTTTTAACTCGGTTTTTTTATTTTGAGTGCTACAGATTTTAAATCCAGAAACCTACCAAATACCTTCATTTCTTTTTCAGCTTCCACTGTTTGAAAGGAAGGAGCTTCTGCGGATATTTCGCACTTGTACACACCTGCGGAGTTGAGGTCCACATTACGTAAATAAACAGACTGCTTACCAGATTTAGATAACTGAAAAAATATGACGAAAAACATGTTTAAAATTTATAAACTATGACATAAATTTTAATATTCTTAGACAGGGATATGAAATAACATACATCAACTTTGATTCCTGGTAATGGAAGAAATTGTCCGGGAGGCCAATCGTTTGGTACATAACGATAAAATTCCACGGCATTTTTGTACCACTTGACAGAATATAGGCGGTCTCCTTCTAACTCGTAGCTACATGTCAATTCTACAGATTCACCCAAGGTTGTAGGAGATGGAATATCCAACATTACTAACCTCAAGGCTGTGGCTACGGTCAGGGCTATATCAAAGTAAAATCACAGAAAATTATGTCTTAATTATATTTTTATATATTAAAACGATAAGATTAAAATGTGATATTTATGATTATTCGATAGTCATTTTAAAAAAAAATCTTATATCTGTAGTTAATAATAAAACAAAATTGAAGATGGTATCTTCGCAGCTGCTCCCATTTCAACTTCATAAATTCTATGGAGGTATTGCTTTACATTCAATTGTGAAGTCTGCTTACTATGATTGCCAGAAGGTTATTTTCTTATATCTTTCCGACTGTTTTTTATATGTGAATTATTCTATTTCTCACAAAGTTGGATGAATTTAAAATTCTCGACTGATTTCGGAAGCATATAAACATGCTTTATTGAAATAGAAATTGTATTTCCTGTAGAATAAATAATTTATTTTAAGTTTTAAATTTTTTTTCCCGATCATTTACTATTTTTGATTATAACTTATTTAAAAGTGTGTTAATAACAGAATATAATCAAACTTTGATTTAGCGCTAACATTTGTTTGCTTCTAATACTGGCACTGAATAGAATGTGACGCTAAACTGAAATATCTCAAAAGGTAACAATTACGTAAATAATGAAGTTATGCGAGGTGAATCTATGCACAAGTTTCAATATGAGAGTTTGAAAGTTTTGTAATTTTGTAAAAACAATAATAAAATATTGTAAATTTATTAATTCATAAATACTGAAAAGTTTAATATTTATAGGAAGAATTTGTCTACAAAGACGCTATAAAAGGGTGGTGCTGTTTAGGAAGGCGTTATTTCAAGATTTGACTATAATTAAGATAAAATAAATAATGTAGTAGCTTGCGTTTNATATCACTATGATGACAGTCCAAACTGACGAACTCACATTCAAAACTAAATAAACAATCTTACCTAGTAGAAAAAAAATTTTAATAACAATAAAAGTAATTGAAATTAAAGATTAAAATAACATTTTTATTTAGTATTTATTTGAATAATAAATAAAATTTACTATTTATAAGAGATTTTTACAAGATAAAGTCTGATAAGTAATTTCCATCATTCATTTACAAATAAAGTTATTGATTTTTGTTTCAAAAAAATACAACTAAAAGTACTATTATGTAATGAACAGGCAATGAATGTCATTCGAATTTATGTAAATTAGTTTTCTGTTAAACTGTATATTTTAAGATCTTTTGTAAATATATGTATACTCATGTAAGCTGCAAATATAGGCTATATATCAATCAAAATTTCTTAAATAAAATATACTATTTACAAATTTAAAAAAATAATTATATTATTTTAATAAATTTAATCTTTATAAGCCATAATAACATAATTTTAGCTATTTAAATTCATTCCACACGATATGTAATAGCTTAGAACATATTATACTCATAAATAGGAAACAAATCTAACCATTCAAAGCTTTTAATCTGTCAATTTATCCAAAGTATAAATTTAAATATTGAAAATATATTTATAAAAAACATACATTTTTCACATTAAATATTAAGAACTTTCCCTTTTTTAAATTCAGAATATATAAAGAGAACAGAAAGATTTTTTGACGTTTGGATGGCAAATCATAAGTAATGACCTTAAAAACTGAACTAAGAATTTTTTTTCTTTTTAGAAGAAGAAATTAAAGATATGATAAAGTCATAGAAAAACTAGATTTTTAAATAAAAATTTTATCAATATTCGATTTTTCTTCCATTCTTTAGAATTAGTTGATATGTTATAATTATCTGCATTTTAGAGCATCTTTTCTAGAGGGATGACAAAATTGAATAATTATCACTTTGCCATTCGACAAAGATTAATTTTTTTTTCTTCTTTTATAAGCTTTTATCTGCATTTTTCTCGTTCGATTTTAATTTTTAGTAGAGAAAGTTTTTATTTTTTTTATCAATTAAATTTTATATTTTGTAAAATTATAAAAGGAATAATTATAAAATTGCTTTTCCTATAATTTCCAGGGTTTTTTCAATTTTTCAAGTATAAATAAAATGTATGGAAAATGGATTATTTTGTAATTTCTCGATTAGAGATATATAACTTTAAAAAAATAACTTATCATGTAATTTCTTGGTTAAAAATATCAAATAAATTACAGAATAATTTACTTTTTATCAAAGATATTAATATTGATATATATAATGCATGCTTGGTATAGCTACCACTCGATACAGTAAACAGTTTTGTTATCCTTGCTACTCGTTATGTATATAAGAAACTCGATGTAGTGAATAATGTTAATCATTTGAGAGTTCATTATATCGAGAGTTTGCTGTATTTATAATAATTCTTGATAGAAATATATTGATTTGTTTACCTTGATTAAAAATATACAATCTCAACGAAAAATACATTATTTTGTAATTTTTTGATTAAAAGAAATCTTATTCTAGGACTTTTTGATTGAGCTATATTATTTATTGATAGGAAACACATGAAATAACTCATTTAAAATGTGAAATACAATAATTACTTTCACAAACAAAAATTAAACAGTAAAAATTTTAAAAAATTAACTTTTAATTCCTCAAGCTTTGTTTGTGATTTTATCATCTTTGCAACGCTGCAAAGTTGATAAAATCATAAACAAAGCTAGGGAAGTTGAAAATTAATTTTGACCTATTTAAAATATCGTTACTTCTAAAACGTAATTGTCAACGCGGTAAGGACATAAATGTTATAAATAGAAGTCACGTTAATGATATCTAAACATAGTAACTATGGTAACTGCATTTTGTTCAATCCATAATTAGACATATTAAAGCATGAAAATACGTGAGTCACGAACTCTAATCGCTGTTGTAAGTAATGAGCACTTTACCAATATGGCAATAGTGAAGAATTAGTCTATTTCTTACGAATATATTAATTTATAAATGGATTTTAACTGTGTTATAAATAATTTAAAGTATATTTTATAGAATATTTTATTCACTTAAGCAACATATTAAAATTTAATTTAATTACAAGACAGTTTAAAGTGGTTTGTAATGGTATGAAACTATCGCTTTACTTACTTAAAAATTATATTAAAATGAATATTTGTATTTATATATATAAGATTTTTGTAAAGTTTTGAGATTTTATGGCTTTCTTTATTTATTTTTTGCTTACAAAAACAAGGTCGGAATAAAGCAAAAATGTGCAGAGTTTGCGGAATTCCAACAAAGGATGGAGTTCCCAAAAGAAGACGTTCATGCTAATGGAGATATAATGGCTCAACACAGACTGGTTAAGTGAATTGAGATTACGGCACATCAGGTAGCAGGTGGCATTCTCGTGAGCTTACCAACCACCTTCCAGTAACGGTTTGTTGGATCAAGACCTCAGATCGAACATGGTGGAAAGGAAAATATAGAAGAAACATTTATACTTCCTGTGGAAAATACTAGTTTTGTAAAAACTTTTTATCTGCAGCAAAATAGGTGCTTATGGATTAGAAGTTGTTTTGAGAATATAGGCAATCATCTACCTTTTTTCTTTTTTTTTTTTATAAAGGAAAAGTATGTCCATATAAGTTCAAAATATCTTTTAAAAATGATATTTTTGAATATTCGAAAAATATATTTTCTTCAAATTATTCTTTAACTCTTAAAATATATAACTCGATAAAATAAGTATACATATTTATATAGATAAACTTGGAAATTATATTTTTCGTGAATACAGATAAATTTATTTGATTTATGGTATTAAATTTGAAAAAAAATGTATTTATAAAATATCTAAACAAGAATTTTTTAAATATTATTTTAAAAAAATAATACAAGATAAGCCAATAGTTGATTAACCGTATCTTGTTGATGTTTATTTCAAATATATTGTGGATATGAATCGTAAAATGAGTGTAGTAGAACTTTTTTTCTTTCATAGAATTGATAAAAACAGTAAAAACTATAAGTATTTGAATAAGATATCAATAGCAATTTAGTCTTTACAATAGTTAACTGACTTTTAGGTCACCTTTATATGATGAAAAATTTCTAACGTTTTTAATATAACTAAATTTCTTAAATTATAAAAAATATATTAATTTAGAAAGCATACTTCTAACATTCAAAATAAGTAATTTTTAAAAAAATAATAATTATTTTAAAATATAGGTTTAGCCAAAAGTTAGTTAACCATGTGTTCTAGGTAGAGTTGTGAGTATAAAAAGTAAATTGAATTTTGAGCGTGTATATATTTCATAAAATATATTAATTTGAATAAGACAGTAATTTAGTATTTGCAATAGTTACCTGAATTTTAAGCCACCCTGCATATTATTAAGCGTTATATTAAAACAGTATCTTATATTTTTAAAAAAATGCTTAAAATAATAGCCTATATTTTTTATAATATATAAAATAATTAATTTTAATAGACAAATAAAAAATTCTCTTTACATTTATTACTTTTAAAACAAGAAATTTAATAATATTTATATAAAATATTTTGGAATTTAATTATAATGCTTTACATTTAATTTAATTCTTTAATTTAATGTATAAGCATAAAGAACTTTTATTACTCTTTAATTATCTTATAAAAATCCATTTTCTTAAAGCGCAATAATTTTTAAAACTAAAAAATATAATTATTTTATAGTTTATCTATTCTTAATAATAATCACTAAATTTAGTTACATTTTTATTATTTTTTCCCTTCAAAAATTTATATGTAAAAAAAAATTGGAACATTTTTCTAAAAAAATTTAATAAAATTTATAAAATGAATGAAATTATAATAATATGTTTTTGAATTAATATTTCAAATCACAAAAAATTTAGTTATATCTATGAAAAATATTACATTCTTTAAAATAATTTAATGTATTAGCTTAAAAGTTAGTTAACTATTTTAAAGACTAAATTATGTCTTATTCAAAGATTTAATCATACTTTTTTATCATGTTTCTATCAATTTTGTAAAAGAAAAACACATATTCTAAATTTACAAGTGTATCCGTAACACAAATAAGACCCGGTTAATTAACATTAGGACCAACTTATATTTAGAAACAGTTTAAATTTTTAATAATAAATCTCTGCTAAATCAAAAAAGTAAACAAATAATTGCTTTCAAATTCTTGTCCAATTAAAATTTGCAGACTTCCGAATGAAAGTCCTGCAATTTGTAATCGAACGTTTCTTGTTTTAATAAAAGTAGAAAATGTTGTTATTGAAAATTTAACAGAATTATTGATATTCTAAGTTTAAATTTTTATGAAATATAAAATTTTGTAAAGTTTATCTTTCTCTCTAACTTCTTCCTGTTCATTTATTGCTTCAGGGTACGTACAATACTCGTTATGCACTGGACAACTCCACTATTATTATTGGAAGTTTTTAATCTTTAAAACCTCCGGATGAATTGCATGATGAAATTTCGAGATCGAATTTCAATTCCTTTAAGTTTTAAGGAATCCAATATCGGTTCATTATTGACTATCTTTCTATGCCACGTCCTACTATCGAGTATAGTGAAGCTGAGGATTCGAAGAAATCTCATAAAATTATTTTATTCATATAAAAGATTTATATTTAAATATTTTTTAATTTTAAGGAAAAAAATATATAAAATAAATTATTTAATACAAGAAAAAACGAGAAGGAATCGTGCGGATGCGAACGAATAAAGTATAAAATTGATCACTATTTCATCAAGTCCAGGAGCAAATATTCAATTTTTTCAGTTCTTTAATTAAATAATCACAATGTTATATGACGATTTGTATGTTACGTAGATTTCCTTATTTGGAAAATATATATAAAAAGCTTTTCGGTAGACGATTGTCATGTAATTTGCTGTACTAGTCTGAAAGTTAAGCTGAACATAATTAATAAATTGTAAAATAAGTGGAGTTTATTCAGGTGATTCATTTAAGTTCGGATTTATTACGTTATGTAGATAATTTAATCAGCTTTTAAATATATTTTTAAAAGTCATATAATTTTTTAAGTAAAAAACGTATATATTTAAGATGACTCTCATATAATAAATGAGATGTAAGATAAAGATAATTAAACAAGTACTTGAAACAATCAAATTTAATAAAATTTCGGTTAAAAATATGTTTAAAATCTATAAAATAATGATAATATCATTCTAATTTAATTTTAATTAACTAATAAATTCAGTAATAATTGTTTAAATTTAATTTAAAAGGGGTTAAAATATTATTAAAAAGTTCCATACACCTAGAAATGTAACAAAAAGTCTTTATTTTTAAACAAAAGGTAATATGAAATTAATGATAATTAAGATTGAAAATAAATTAAAGGAATGAATAAATGAATAAAATTTTCAATTAATCATAATTAAAGGAATGAATAAATGAATAACATTTTTAATTAATCATAATTAATAAAATATTTTTTTAATAATCATTTTAAGTAAATAAGATTAATAGAAANTTAATTTATGTAAAATATCTGTTGATAGAATCACAGAAAATCAAAATCCATTAATTAGCATACAGTAATAAGGTTATACTCCTTAATAAGCACGAATTCAGGCGTAAATTTAAATATTTATTTTTAACTCGGTTTTTTTATTTTGAGTGCTACAGATTTTAAATCCAGAAACCTACCAAATACCTTCATTTCTTTTTCAGCTTCCACTGTTTGAAAGGAAGGAGCTTCTGCGGATATTTCGCACTTGTACACACCTGCGGAGTTGAGGTCCACATTACGTAAATAAACAGACTGCTTACCAGATTTAGATAACTGAAAAAATATGACGAAAAACATGTTTAAAATTTATAAACTATGACATAAATTTTAATATTCTTAGACAGGGATATGAAATAACATACATCAACTTTGATTCCTGGTAATGGAAGAAATTGTCCGGGAGGCCAATCGTTTGGTACATAACGATAAAATTCCACGGCATTTTTGTACCACTTGACAGAATATAGGCGGTCTCCTTCTAACTCGTAGCTACATGTCAATTCTACAGATTCACCCAAGGTTGTAGGAGATGGAATATCCAACATTACTAACCTCAAGGCTGTGGCTACGGTCAGGGCTATATCAAAGTAAAATCACAGAAAATTATGTCTTAATTATATTTTTATATATTAAAACGATAAGATTAAAATGTGATATTTATGATTATTCGATAGTCATTTTAAAAAAAAATCTTATATCTGTAGTTAATAATAAAACAAAATTGAAGATGGTATCTTCGCAGCTGCTCCCATTTCAACTTCATAAATTCTATGGAGGTATTGCTTTACATTCAATTGTGAAGTCTGCTTACTATGATTGCCAGAAGGTTATTTTCTTATATCTTTCCGACTGTTTTTTATATGTGAATTATTCTATTTCTCACAAAGTTGGATGAATTTAAAATTCTCGACTGATTTCGGAAGCATATAAACATGCTTTATTGAAATAGAAATTGTATTTCCTGTAGAATAAATAATTTATTTTAAGTTTTAAATTTTTTTTCCCGATCATTTACTATTTTTGATTATAACTTATTTAAAAGTGTGTTAATAACAGAATATAATCAAACTTTGATTTAGCGCTAACATTTGTTTGCTTCTAATACTGGCACTGAATAGAATGTGACGCTAAACTGAAATATCTCAAAAGGTAACAATTACGTAAATAATGAAGTTATGCGAGGTGAATCTATGCACAAGTTTCAATATGAGAGTTTGAAAGTTTTGTAATTTTGTAAAAACAATAATAAAATATTGTAAATTTATTAATTCATAAATACTGAAAAGTTTAATATTTATAGGAAGAATTTGTCTACAAAGACGCTATAAAAGGGTGGTGCTGTTTAGGAAGGCGTTATTTCAAGATTTGACTATAATTAAGATAAAATAAATAATGTAGTAGCTTGCGTTTAATATATAAATTTAAAACTAATTTGCTTCGAGCTTATGTTATTACATTTTTTTAAATAATAATTTACATTACTTGAATGGTATAAAAAATTCAGTTATTGATCTGGTATTGATTTGGAATTTAAAAGCCAAAGTATGTTGCAGAGTAGCCAAAAATCAGTTAACTGCGTTATGAAGAATTAAAGGATGGAAGGTTTTTGCCAGGCATTTGAGAAAAGTGTGTTTAAACATTGTAATTCGTATATTGAACAAGGAGTATCTTATCTCGAACAATTTTATTTTATAAGCTTTGCAATAATAAAGTGTTTAAAAAAGACAGCAATCTATTTTTTGTAATAGTTAACTGACTTTTGGACTACCCTGTAAATTCATTAGTGTATTTTTCATAATTAATTAAAAAATAATAATAATTAATAAATAATTAAAAATTCAATAAACGTATTTATTTTAATTATAAATTCTGAACTTTTAACTTAAAATATAATATATAACATAGTGAAAAATGTGAAAAATAACTAAAGTTTTCCATGATTCTCCATTGGAAGAACATTACGACTTTGATTAAACTACAAAAGCTAAAGTTCTTAATATAAATATAACTTAAAAAATTAAAATAGAAATTAAATATAAAATATATTTTATTTTTATCAATTTTCTTTAATATTAACATTTAAAAAAATAAATTAAAAACAAATTATTTANCCATATCACTATGATGACAGTCCAAACTGACGAACTCACATTCAAAACTAAATAAACAATCTTACCTAGTAGAAAAAAAATTTTAATAACAATAAAAGTAATTGAAATTAAAGATTAAAATAACATTTTTATTTAGTATTTATTTGAATAATAAATAAAATTTACTATTTATAAGAGATTTTTACAAGATAAAGTCTGATAAGTAATTTCCATCATTCATTTACAAATAAAGTTATTGATTTTTGTTTCAAAAAAATACAACTAAAAGTACTATTATGTAATGAACAGGCAATGAATGTCATTCGAATTTATGTAAATTAGTTTTCTGTTAAACTGTATATTTTAAGATCTTTTGTAAATATATGTATACTCATGTAAGCTGCAAATATAGGCTATATATCAATCAAAATTTCTTAAATAAAATATACTATTTACAAATTTAAAAAAATAATTATATTATTTTAATAAATTTAATCTTTATAAGCCATAATAACATAATTTTAGCTATTTAAATTCATTCCACACGATATGTAATAGCTTAGAACATATTATACTCATAAATAGGAAACAAATCTAACCATTCAAAGCTTTTAATCTGTCAATTTATCCAAAGTATAAATTTAAATATTGAAAATATATTTATAAAAAACATACATTTTTCACATTAAATATTAAGAACTTTCCCTTTTTTAAATTCAGAATATATAAAGAGAACAGAAAGATTTTTTGACGTTTGGATGGCAAATCATAAGTAATGACCTTAAAAACTGAACTAAGAATTTTTTTTCTTTTTAGAAGAAGAAATTAAAGATATGATAAAGTCATAGAAAAACTAGATTTTTAAATAAAAATTTTATCAATATTCGATTTTTCTTCCATTCTTTAGAATTAGTTGATATGTTATAATTATCTGCATTTTAGAGCATCTTTTCTAGAGGGATGACAAAATTGAATAATTATCACTTTGCCATTCGACAAAGATTAATTTTTTTTTCTTCTTTTATAAGCTTTTATCTGCATTTTTCTCGTTCGATTTTAATTTTTAGTAGAGAAAGTTTTTATTTTTTTTATCAATTAAATTTTATATTTTGTAAAATTATAAAAGGAATAATTATAAAATTGCTTTTCCTATAATTTCCAGGGTTTTTTCAATTTTTCAAGTATAAATAAAATGTATGGAAAATGGATTATTTTGTAATTTCTCGATTAGAGATATATAACTTTAAAAAAATAACTTATCATGTAATTTCTTGGTTAAAAATATCAAATAAATTACAGAATAATTTACTTTTTATCAAAGATATTAATATTGATATATATAATGCATGCTTGGTATAGCTACCACTCGATACAGTAAACAGTTTTGTTATCCTTGCTACTCGTTATGTATATAAGAAACTCGATGTAGTGAATAATGTTAATCATTTGAGAGTTCATTATATCGAGAGTTTGCTGTATTTATAATAATTCTTGATAGAAATATATTGATTTGTTTACCTTGATTAAAAATATACAATCTCAACGAAAAATACATTATTTTGTAATTTTTTGATTAAAAGAAATCTTATTCTAGGACTTTTTGATTGAGCTATATTATTTATTGATAGGAAACACATGAAATAACTCATTTAAAATGTGAAATACAATAATTACTTTCACAAACAAAAATTAAACAGTAAAAATTTTAAAAAATTAACTTTTAATTCCTCAAGCTTTGTTTGTGATTTTATCATCTTTGCAACGCTGCAAAGTTGATAAAATCATAAACAAAGCTAGGGAAGTTGAAAATTAATTTTGACCTATTTAAAATATCGTTACTTCTAAAACGTAATTGTCAACGCGGTAAGGACATAAATGTTATAAATAGAAGTCACGTTAATGATATCTAAACATAGTAACTATGGTAACTGCATTTTGTTCAATCCATAATTAGACATATTAAAGCATGAAAATACGTGAGTCACGAACTCTAATCGCTGTTGTAAGTAATGAGCACTTTACCAATATGGCAATAGTGAAGAATTAGTCTATTTCTTACGAATATATTAATTTATAAATGGATTTTAACTGTGTTATAAATAATTTAAAGTATATTTTATAGAATATTTTATTCACTTAAGCAACATATTAAAATTTAATTTAATTACAAGACAGTTTAAAGTGGTTTGTAATGGTATGAAACTATCGCTTTACTTACTTAAAAATTATATTAAAATGAATATTTGTATTTATATATATAAGATTTTTGTAAAGTTTTGAGATTTTATGGCTTTCTTTATTTATTTTTTGCTTACAAAAACAAGGTCGGAATAAAGCAAAAATGTGCAGAGTTTGCGGAATTCCAACAAAGGATGGAGTTCCCAAAAGAAGACGTTCATGCTAATGGAGATATAATGGCTCAACACAGACTGGTTAAGTGAATTGAGATTACGGCACATCAGGTAGCAGGTGGCATTCTCGTGAGCTTACCAACCACCTTCCAGTAACGGTTTGTTGGATCAAGACCTCAGATCGAACATGGTGGAAAGGAAAATATAGAAGAAACATTTATACTTCCTGTGGAAAATACTAGTTTTGTAAAAACTTTTTATCTGCAGCAAAATAGGTGCTTATGGATTAGAAGTTGTTTTGAGAATATAGGCAATCATCTACCTTTTTTCTTTTTTTTTTTTATAAAGGAAAAGTATGTCCATATAAGTTCAAAATATCTTTTAAAAATGATATTTTTGAATATTCGAAAAATATATTTTCTTCAAATTATTCTTTAACTCTTAAAATATATAACTCGATAAAATAAGTATACATATTTATATAGATAAACTTGGAAATTATATTTTTCGTGAATACAGATAAATTTATTTGATTTATGGTATTAAATTTGAAAAAAAATGTATTTATAAAATATCTAAACAAGAATTTTTTAAATATTATTTTAAAAAAATAATACAAGATAAGCCAATAGTTGATTAACCGTATCTTGTTGATGTTTATTTCAAATATATTGTGGATATGAATCGTAAAATGAGTGTAGTAGAACTTTTTTTCTTTCATAGAATTGATAAAAACAGTAAAAACTATAAGTATTTGAATAAGATATCAATAGCAATTTAGTCTTTACAATAGTTAACTGACTTTTAGGTCACCTTTATATGATGAAAAATTTCTAACGTTTTTAATATAACTAAATTTCTTAAATTATAAAAAATATATTAATTTAGAAAGCATACTTCTAACATTCAAAATAAGTAATTTTTAAAAAAATAATAATTATTTTAAAATATAGGTTTAGCCAAAAGTTAGTTAACCATGTGTTCTAGGTAGAGTTGTGAGTATAAAAAGTAAATTGAATTTTGAGCGTGTATATATTTCATAAAATATATTAATTTGAATAAGACAGTAATTTAGTATTTGCAATAGTTACCTGAATTTTAAGCCACCCTGCATATTATTAAGCGTTATATTAAAA